CTCAAGACCTGGTGAGAGATGTAAAAGTGATTGCACCACTTGGAAACAGTGATCATAATGTTGTTGAGTTCAACATTTGTACAAATAGAGAAGTGGCCAAAAAGACTCACACAACCATTTTTAACTTTAAAAGGGGTAATTTCTCTGATATGAGGGGACACGTGGGGAGGAAACTGAAAGGAAAAGTAGAAAGGGTCAAAACAATTGGGGAAGCTTGGGATCTATTTAAAACTACGATCCTAGAAGCTCAAAAAATATATATTCCGCAGGTTAGGAAAGGCACAAAAAGGTATAGGAAAAAGCCTGCATGGTTAACAAACAGAGTAATGGAGGCTGTAAAAAGTAAAAAGAATTCCTTTAAGCAGTGGAAAGCTAGTCACAGTGAGGCTGATAAAACGGAACACAGGCTATGGCAAATAAAATGCAAGTCTGAGGTCAGGCAGGCAAAAAGGGAATATGAGGAGCATATAGCAAAAAACGTAAAAACCAACAATAAAACTTTCTTCAAATACATTAGAAACAGGAAACCAGCCAGGGAGGCAGTGGGGCCCTTGGACGACCAAGGGGTAAAAGGAGTATTGAAGGATGATAGGGAAATGGCTGAGAAGCTAAATGCATTTTTTGCCTCCGTCTTCACTGTGGAAGATGAGAAGTGCTTGCCCACTCCAGAACCACTGATTTCAGGAGGGGTGTTGAAAGACCTGAGTCAGATTGAGGTGACGAGAGAGGAGGTCCTAAAACTGATAGACAACTTAAAAACTGAAAAATCACCAGGCCCAGATGGCATACATCCGAGAGTTCTGAAAGAACTCAAATGTGAACTTGTAGATCTCCTGACAAAGATATGTAATCTTTCCTTAAAATCTGCCTCCATTCCTGAGGATTGGAAGGTAGCTAATGTCACTCCCATCTTTAAAAAGGGTTCCAGAGGAGATCCGGGAAATTACAGGCCAGTCAGTCTGACGTCGATACCGGGTAAATTGGTGGAAACCATTATTAAGGAAAGAATTAGTAGGCACATAGATGAACAAAACCTATTGAGGCAGACTCAGCACGGTTTCTGTAAGGGAAGATCTTGTCTCACTAACCTGTTAGTGTTCTTTGAGGGGGTGAACAAACATGTGGACAAGGGGGATCCAATAGATATTATTTACCTTGACTTCCAGAAAGCTTTTGATAAAGTTCCTCATCAAAGGCTCCTAAGTAAGCTCAAAAATCATGGGATAGAAGGACAAGTCCTTTTATGGATCAAAAACTGGCTAGTTCATAGAAAACAGAGAGTGAGTGTAGGTGGGCAATTTTCTCAGTGGAGGGTGGTAAGCAGTGGGGTACCGCAGGGATCAGTACTTGGTCCACTGCTTTTTAACTTGTTCATTAATGATTTGGAGATGGGAGTAAGCAGTGAAGTGGCTAAATTTGCGGATGATACAAAGTTGTTCAGGGTGGTGAAAACCAGTGAGGATTGTGAGGCACTCCAAAGGGATCTGTCAATTTTGGGCGAGTGGGCGTCAACATGGCAAATGGGGTTCAATGTGGCCAAGTGCAAGGTGATGCACATTGGAGCCAAAAATCCTAACTATAAATACACGTTGATGGGGTCTGAACTGGCAGAGACTGATCAAGAGAGAGATCTTGGAGTTGTAGTAGATAACTCACTGAAAATGTCGAGACAGTGTGTGACTGCAATAAAGAAGGCCAATGCTATGCTGGGGATTATTAGGAAGGGTATTGTAAACAGATCAGCCAATATCATAATGCCGCTATATAAATCAATGGTGCGACCTCATCTGGAATACTGTGTGCAATTCTGGTCACCACACCTTAAAAAGGATATTATAGCTTTGGAAAAAGTGCAGAAAAGAGCAACTCGAATGATAAAAGGGTTGGAACACTTTCCCTATGAGGATAAGGCGTTTAGGGCTCTTTAGCTTGGAGAAACGACGACTGAGGGGTGACATGATTGAGGTTTATAAGATTATGCATGGGAAAGAGCAGGTAGAGAAAGAGGTACTTTTCTCCCTTTCTCACAATACAAGAACTCGTGGGCACTCCATGAAACTGCAGAGCGGTCGGGTTAGAACGGATAAAAGGAAGTACTTCTTCACCCAAAGAGTGATTAACACTTGGAATTCACTGCCACAGGAAGTGGTAGCAGCTACAAGCATGGACGGCTTCAAAAGGGAATTAGATAAGCATATGGAGCAGAGGTCCATCAATGGCTATTAGCCACAAGGTTTAGATAGGGACTCTGGGGCAAGTGATGCTCTGTCATCTTGGTGCTTGGGGGGGGGGGTCAACAGTGGGAGGGCTTCTAATGTCCTGGCCCCACTGGTGGACCTCCTGATGGCACTGGTATTTCTGGCCACTGTGGGATACAGAGTGTTGGACTGGATGGGCCTTTGGCCTGATCCAACATTGGCATCTCTTATGTTCTTATGTTCTTATGTTAACCTCAGATATGCAGACACCACCACCCTAATGGCAGTGAAGAGTGAAGTGGACCTATGAAGTGAAAAGTGAAGAGGACCTAAAGAACCTCTTGCTCAGGGTGAAAGAGGAGAGTGCAAAAGTTGGCTTGAAACTCAACATAAAAAAAAACTAAGCTCATGGCATCTGGCCCCATCACTCCTTGGCAAATAGAAAGGGAAGTCATGGAAGCAGTGACAGACTTCATGTTCCTGGGATCCAAGATCACCGCAGATGGTGACTTCAGCCATAAAATTAAAAGACGCCTGCTCCTTGGGAGGAAAGCTATGGCAAACCTAGACACCATAATAAAGAGACATCACCCTGCCAACAAAAGTCCGTATGGTCAAAGCAATGGTATTCCCAGTAGTAATGTATGGCTGCGAGAGTTGGACTATAAGGAAGGCTGAGCGCTGAAGAATAGATTCTTTTGAATTATGGTGCTGAAGAAGACTCTTGAGAGTCAACACTAAAAGAAATCAACACTGACTGTTCCCTGGAAGGCCAGATACTGAAGCTGAGGCTCAAATACTTTGGCCCCCCAAATGAGAAGGGAGCCCTCACTGGAGAAGACCCTGATGCTGGGAAAGATTGAAGGTCAAAGAAGAAGGGGATGGCAAAGGATGAGATGGTTAGACAGTGTTATTGATGCAACAAACATGAAATTAAGCAAACTCCAGAGGATAACAGAAGACAGGAGGGCCTGATGTGGTCCATGGGGTCGTGAAGAGCTGAACAACAACACTGTAAGATGTAGGCTGTTTTGTGTTTTTCAGGACAGGAAACCATGCTCTATTTATTTTTAAACTCTCTTCTTTCCTGTTGAAATTGTGTTTATGTTTACAAATTTCAATGGCTTCCCTGTGTAATTTGACATGCTAATTTGGATGTGCTGTCCAGCCTTTCAGAGTCTTGGAATAAGATACCGTGTCCTGTTGAGTTAGGCTATGTTCAGCCACTGCTGGTCTTTCAGGTTGGCCCAGTCTGCAGTGTCTTTCATGTTCTTTTATTCCTGTCTGAATACTACGCTGTGTGGTCCCAATGAACTCCGGCCGTGAAAGCTTTCAGCAACATGCCATAAATCGCAGGTAGGTGGGGGAGCAGTGTGACACTGTATTGAAGGATAAGGTTTCTGAAGTTGGCATTAGCAAATTTTACCAGTTTTGGGGTTCAAACTACACCCAACTTAAGGCTTTTGCTTCTAACATTCTGTCTATGTTTGGGACAATGTATGTCTGTGAACAGTCCTGTTCTGTAAAACATGTCCATAAATCAAAAGTACATTCTCAGCTTAGAAATACACACCTAATGTAAGGATCTACGGAAGGCCCCTCACTGCGAAACGCTGGTTCAGGCCTGAAATAAAAGGCCGTTAAAACTTGCAAAAGCCTTTTTGCTATAAGACTCGCTGAATCATGCTGAAATACCAAATGGGACTTGGCAGGACACTCGAATGCGCCTGTTAAGCTTAGCTAAATAAATAATGGCTGAACCTAATATATACAACATTGGCCATAAAAGGTAATGGCTGAGGGAAGCAGGACTTTATGTGTGCTGCAGGAGAACTTGTATGAAACAAATACTATAATCCTTTAAATCTTTCTTTCTTTTCACTCAGATTTCATACACATAACAGCTTACACATCTATAATTTATGTGCATTATACGTTAAACATATAGTTAACCGTAAGGAACAGAGTTTATGGGGATTTTTAAGCCATGGAGAGCAAGGTACTTTCCAGACAAGGGCAGATACCGGAATCATATAGGTCCAAATTAGGAAGTTTTGGCATAACAAAACCTTACACAAGGACAGAACACTGGGTCAAAGTGACCCCAGTAGTAGGAGGGAATTTCCAAAAATGGAAATTTCCAATGATCAGATGAGATACAACAGACACTTCTAACTATTGGGAAAAACAATTTGAAAGGTCAGAGCTTCTGATTGGTTAATAGAGAAACAGGATAGGCAAGGAAAAAAGAACATAAAAGGAGAGAACTGGGCGTCATTAGGGTCGGGTCAAAGGAGATAGGAGGTTGCTCCTGTCTTCTTGCTCCGATCTTTTTGTCTCCATTAGGAACCCAGAAGGGCTGTCATCTTCGTTCATCACAAGTGCTCCAGAGTGGTGAGACATGTTATAAAAATAATTATGCTTTGGCCATTTTGGCCAAAATTGTAACAAGCAATTAGAGAACTGCACAAAATGTAACCTCTTAGCAAAACTGCTATTTGAAGCTATGTTTAAATAAAATTCATACATCTGCAAATGTATCTGAGTCTTTCCCTTGCCGACGACAAGTCCATTTATAATTACTGAGCATAAACACAAAGATTCCGCTCGCTAGCCAAGTAGTATAAGCTGACAGGAAAAACAGCTAACACTAACCAGCATACTCACGATTGATACTGATGCAATAATTCAGAGCAAGACGTGTCAGTTATCAAAGACTGTCAAATAAAAGAAATACTGTTAATGTTTTAAGCATGCTTGTATTTTGAGTAAAAAATACCATTAATTGGGTTTGCCTGTGTCCTTTCTAAAGTTTATATCTCTGGTACATGTTATTACGTTTTATAGAATGCATGGCCCGGCCTGACAAAGTAAGAATAATGTTAGGTCCTTGTAACAAATGACTTAGACATCCCTGGGCTAAGAAGTTACATGGCTTTCCTTGTGTGGTTTCTTTGATGCCGCTGAAGAGTGCCACTCTGACTGTATCTCTTCCCACACTCTGAGCATTCAAAAGGCTTCTCCCCTGTGTGGGTTCTTAGATGATTTTGAAGAGCATTACTCCGACTGAATCTCTTTGCACACTGGGAGCATTCAAAAGGTTTCTCCCCTGTGTGGCTTCTCTGATGCTGTTGAAGATTGCCACTGTGATTGAATCTCTTCCCACACTCTGAGCATTCAAAAGGTTTCTCCCCCGTGTGCGTTCTTTGATGCCCCTGAAGATTGCGACTCAACCTGAATCTCTTTCCACACACTGAGCATTCAAAAGGTTTCTCCCCTGTATAGATTCTTTGATGCTCCTGAAGACTGCAACTTAACCTGAATCTTTTCCCATCCTCTGAACATTCCAAAAGTTTCTCCCCCATGTGGATTCTTTGATGTTCTTGGAGACTGCAACTGTGTCTGAATCTCTTTCCACACTCTAAGCATTCGAAAGGCTTCTCCCCTGTGTGGATTATCTGATGCCGTTGAAGATGGCCACGCTGACTGAATTTCATTCCGCACTCTGAGCATTCAAAAGGCTTCTCCCCTGTGTGGATTATTTGATGCTGTTGAAGATTGCTAAACTGACTGAATCTCTTTCCACACTCTAAGCATTCGAAAGGCTTCTCCCCTGTGTGGATTATCTGATGCCGTTGAAGATGGCCACGCTGACTGAATTTCATTCCACACTCTGAGCATTCAAAAGGTTTCTCTCCTGAGTGGATTCTTTGATGCTGTTGTAGAGTGCCACTACGACTGAATCTCTTTCCACACTCTGAGCATTCGAAAGGTTTCTCTCCTGTGTGGGTTCTTTGATGCTCTTGAAGATTGCGAAGCTGACTGAATTTCTTCTCACATGCTGAGCATTCAAAAGGCTTCTCCCCTGTGTGGATTATTTGATGCTGTTGAAGATTGCCAAACTGACTGAATCTCTTCCCACACTCTAAGCATTCGAAAGGCTTCTCCCCTGTGTGGATTATTTGATGCTGTTGAAGATTGCCAAACTGACTGAATCTCTTCCCACACTCTGAGCATTCAAAGGGCTTTTCCCCTGTGTGGGTTGTTAGGTGATTTTTAAGAGCGCCACTGTGACTGAATCTCTTCCCACACTCTAAGCATTCAAAAGGCTTCTCTCCTGTGTGGCTTCTCAGATGATTTTGCAGAGCATCACTCCGACTGAATCTCTTTCCACACTCAGAGCACTCAAAAGGTTTCTCCCCTGTGTGGGTTCTTAGATGCTGCTGATGAGCACCATTCTGACTGAATCTCTTCCCACACTCTGTACATTCAAAAGGCTTCTCTCCTGTGTGGGTTCTTAGATGCTGCTGAAGATTGCTACGCTGACAAAATTTCATTCCACACTCTGAGCATTCAAACGGTTTCTCCCCTCTGTGTATCCTTTGGTGCACAAGGAGCTGTGATCTGTATTTGAAGAACTTTCCGCACCAGAAACATTTATGTGCCTTCATTATATTGTACTTTGGAAGATGCATATTACGCTTTCCTCCATCAGAGAACGCCATTCCAGTCTCTGAGCAGATAAACACATTTTCTTCTGAGTGAATTCTCTGGTGCTGAACAAGGTCTGAGTTCTCTGAGAAGCTCTTGCCACAGTCTGAGCAGCTATAAGGTTTCCCTCCTGTATGTGTTCTTTGATGTCTAAGGAGTTCTGCTCTGTGAATCATGGTCTTTCCACACTCCAGGCATTGATGGGTCTTCTTTCCACTGTGCATTTGTAAATGGACATTATATTGGGATTGATCTGAGAAGTTCATTCCACACTCCAAGCACTTGTATGTTTCCTCCACCATGTGAATTATTTCAGGAAAATCCCTCCCTTGGCAAGGAATGGGTTTATCCCTCTTCTTGACCATGTGGCTGTCTTTGTGCCTCTTGGGACCAACTTCATCCTTGACGTCTTCATTCTTGACATCATCTGGTGATAGAGAGTGCAGTTCCTCATCCTCCTCATTCCTCTGATCATCCCCTGCTGGAATAAAGAGAGAGATCCCATGTTAGAACCCATGCAAGGAGGTCTGATATGAACCTGAAGTTCCATACACACTCCAAATATTTCAGTGGCTTCTTCCTGCTGTACATGGATGTGTTCAATAATATACATTTTAAAGTTGACGGGTCTCCCTCTCTGGGAGCACATTCAGCCTGTGCTGAGGGCATTGCACTGGCCGCCTATAGCATACCGGATCTGCTTCAAAGTGCTGGTTCTTACCTTTAAAGCCCTTTATGGCCAGGGACTTACATACCTAATGGACCGCCTTTCCCTATATGTGTCCCAGAGAGCACTGCGATCAGGGGTCCAGAATTGGCTGGTCCTCCCGAGCATTAAGGAGGCCAGGCTGGTGACGACCAATGTTCCCTCTAAGCTGTGGAGTCTTGTGAGCAAAAATCCTACTTTGTGAGTTACTGGCATTAAAGTTGTGAGCAAGCAAATTAGTTTGCTCTGGAGCCATCCTTCCTGAGCCAAGACAAAAAATGTGTGAGCCGGAGGCTAAAAAACTGTGAGCTAGCTCACACTAACTCAGCTTAGAGGAAACACTGGTGACGACCAGGGCCAGGGCTTTTTCTGTGGCAGCTCCACTCTTCTGGAATGAGCTCCCAGAGGAGACCAGGGCCCTGTGGGACATTTCACAGTTCTGGAGGGCTTGCAAAATGGAGCTCGTCCACCAGGACTTTGGAGCCGCCGCCGCCACCACCACCACCACCACCATGACCACGATCAATACCATTTCGATCGCCAATGCCACTGGCAATGGCAACTGATACTGTATGGTGAAGAGTCCTGATCCGCTGGACCCTAATTTCTGCCCATGCCAATTCCCCCTTTTCTAACGACACCTGAAGCTGCCCTATGACTTTTGAAGCTGGTTTTGACATCTGAAGACCAATCAGCGCCAATAGAAGACTAGCCTTTTATTATTACGGTTTTAATATGTTTTAATGTTATTGATGTTATTTATATAATTGGAATTTTATCTGACTGTAAGACGCCCTGATGATGATGATGATGATGCCGCCTCCTATATTAGAGACGCTTGGTTTGGACTCTAACCATTTCTATGGCTCCCCACCTGTGTGACTTCTTTGATGTGAATTAAGGGAACTTTTGTGACTGAAGCTTTTTGCGCAGTGCAAGCAATTATACGGTTTCTTTTCTAAGGAAATCTGTGTTCATTCTCTGACTGAAGGTCTTTGCAAAGGCCACACTTTTCATTTTCATTTTCCGTGGAGTAAATTCTTTGGTTAGGATGGAGGCCTTTGTTCCTTCTTTTTTTGATTGACCTTTCTTCTTGGAGTTGGATTTCATGGAAACTCCCTCCTCAGCAAGGAATGGGCTCATCCCTCCTTTTACCTGTGTGGCTTCCCTCCTGCCTCTGAGGTCCATCCCAATCTCTGAAGTGTCCTTCGGCATCTTCATTTTTGGCTTTTTCCAAAGAGGACCCCTGGAATTCCCCAACTGTCTTCTCTACATCTGCTGCTGGAATAAAGAGTTTCAATCAGCACCCATGCAAGAAGCTAAGCCACAAGTCAGGCACTGCTTCTGAATGAGTGTGAACATAAGAACATAAGAGAAGTCGATGTTGGATCAGGCCAGTGGCCCATCCAGTCCAACACTCTGTATCACACAGTGGCCAGAAATACCAGGTGCCATCGGGAGGTCCACCAGTGGGGTCAGGACACTAGAAGCCCTCCCACTGTTGGCCCCCTCCAAGCACTAAGAAGACAGAACATCACTTGCCCCTGAGCCCCTATCTATACCTTGTGGCTAATAGTCACTGATGGACCTCTGCTCCATATGTTTATCTAATTCCCTCTTGAAGCCGTCCATGCTTGTAGCCACCACCACCTCCTGTGGCAGTGAATTCCATGTGTTAATCACTTTTTGGGTGAAGAAGTACTTCCTTTTATCTGTTCTAACCTGACTTCTCAGCAATTTCATTGCCCACGAGTTCTTGTATTGTGAGAAAGGGATAAAAGGACTTCTTTCTCTACCTGCTCTATCCCATGCATAATCTTGTAAACCTCGATCATGTCACCCCTCAGCCATTGTTTCTCCAAGGTAAAGAGCCCCAAGCGCTTTAACCTTTCCTCATAGGGAAAGTGTTCCAACCCTTTCATCATTCTAGTTGCCGTCTTTTGCACTTTTTCCAATGCTATAATATCCTTTCTGAGGTGTGGTGACCAGAACTGTACACAGTATTCCAAATGAGGTCGCACCATTGACTTATACAGGGGTGTGCATTTCTCCTATCAAATCTTCTTTCCTCCCACACTGAGCCACTGGTCACACCTTGTCCCTGCCAGGTCCTCCTGTAGAGCTGTTTTTATATTCCTCTCCCCAAACTCCCCTTATGTACTTTAAGGGGAAAAGTGGCAAAGAATGATTCCCCCCACTGTTCCCATTTGTCTTGCTGTGCAGCTCTTTTGATTCACTGCTCTTGATAATTAGATACGAGAAATTATCAACATATCCTGTCCTGCAACTGCACTGAGAGTTTCCTTCCAGTTGTGAACAGAGCCAGGAGGAGCTGGTTTTCAGCCTCCCCCAAATACATGTTTTCTGGGGGGGAGCCAGCCAGTAGCTCACCAAGTGAACCCCACGGTTCAAAAGGGGCCCCCATTGTTTTTGTAAAAGGTCCCAGTTCTTAGGGAGGGAGGTCATTACTGATGAGAAAACCAACCCTGTAGTGTAGGGCCACCTTTCTCAAGGTCAGAGCCATTTTCTTGTTATTTCTGAGTCGCTCGCTGCACCTTAGCCAGGCCTGTCTATTGTCTAATGCACAGCCATATCTGAATCATCCAGGGATTTCTGCCTTTCCTAGAAGGAGAGTCAGCCTGTCTATCTGGAAAGAAGTGTATCTTATCGTCAGCAAGAGACAGCCAGAAGACTGGTTATCAGGCCTCAAGGTCATTAATTTTTTACAGTAGAGTAAGGCCCTCTGGAAGCCCGCCCCAGAGGAACACACAGTGCCAAAAAGTCCAAATAAGACCCCAGAAAGTGTCTGTCCCATCCTCTCAAAACACCTGCAACATGCAGTGAGCATGCAGATATGCATGTGTCCAGCATGATAAAGTTCCTCATCAAAAGCTCCTAAGTAAGCTGAATAGTCATGGGATAAAAGGACAAGTCCTTTTGTGGATCAAAAAGTGGCTCATTAATAGGAAACAGAGAATGTATAAATGGGTAATTTTCTCATTGGAGGGTGGTAAGCAGTGGGGTACCACAGAGATCAGTACTCGGTCCGATGCTTTTTAACTTGTTCATTAATGATTTGGAGTTGGGAGTAAGCAGTGGCTAAATTTGCGGATGACATGAAGTTGTTCAGGGTGGTGATAACCAGGGAGGATTGTGAAGCACTCCAAAGGGATCTGTCGAGGATGGGTGAGTGGGCATCAATGTGGCAAATGGGGTTTAGTGTGGCCATGTACAAGGTGATGCACATCAGAGCCAAAAATCCTAACTATAAATACAACTTGATGGGGTCCGAACTGGCAGAGACTGACCAAGAGAGAGATCTTGGAGTCATAGTAGATAACTCTGAAAATGCCGAGATAGTGTGCGACTGCAATGAAAAAGGCCAACGCTATGCTGGGGATTATTAGGAAGGGAACTGAAAACAGATCAGCCAGTATCATAATACCCCTGTATAAATCAATGGTGCGACTTCATTTGGAGTACTGTGTACAGTTCTGGTCACCACACCTCAAAAAGGATATTATAGCATTGGAAAAAAGTGCAGAAAAGGGCAACAAGAATGATAAAAGGGTTTGGAACACTTTCCCTATGAAGAAAGGTTAAAGCGCTTGGAGCTCTTTAGCTTGGAGAAACAACAGTTGAGGGGTGATATGACTGAAGTTTATAAGATTATGCATGGGATAGAGCAGGTAGAGAAAGACGTACTTTTCTCCCTTTCTCACAATAGAAGAACTCGTGGGCACTCAATGAAATTGCTGAGCAGTTGGGTTAGAACGGATAAAAGGAAGTCCTTCTTCACCCAAAGAGTGATTAACACGTGGAATTCACTGCCACAGGAGGTGGCGGCGGCTACACGTGTGGACGGCTTCAAGAAGTAATTGGATAAACATATGGAGCAGAGGTCCATCAGTGACTATTAGCCACAAGGTATAGATAGGAACTCTCAGTCTGGGGCAAGGGATGCACAGAAGTCTTGATGCTTGAGGGGGGGCAACAGTGGGAGGGTTTCTAGTGTCCTGGCCCCACTGGTGGACCTCCTATTGGCACCTGGTATTTTTTGGACACTGTGTGAGAGAGTGTTGGACTGGATGGGCCACTGGCCTGATCCAACATTGGCTTTCCTTGGGGACAGAGGGAGATAGTGTTGGCTGTCCTTGGAGAAACCCAGGCATCAGGGTACACTGAGTGGACAGGTATACTTGACTTTTTGGTGTCTGGATGTGTTTTTCTGTGGCAGATGCTTTTCTGCCACAAAGAGCTGGAAGGGACTTAGCCTTTGGGAAGGAGTTGGTCGCTTCCCTCTTGGGGAAAAGGGGGTTGCTACCGTATTTTCTCTATCCTGTCGTGGCTCAACAAACTGTGCTTAAACTGAAAACTTGACTCTGTGTTTGATGGGCTGACAGGGTCAGTGGGAATATTTTCAATAGGACATGAGTCTGCCCTCTTGGAATGAGGACTGATCCCCCTCACCACAACAGAGGATGCTCTGTGGTTTGGCTTCAGCGAGTTTTCCTTGGGTGGCAGTTTTAATTGAAGAAGAAGAAGAAGAGAAGAGATTGGATTTATATCCTGCCCTTCACTCGGAGTCTCAGAGCAGCTTACAAACTCCTTGCCCTTCCCCTCCCCACAACAGACACCCTGTGAGGGAGGTGGGGCTGAGGGAGCTCTTTCCAGAACTGTCCTTGAGAGAACAGCTCTGACAGAACTATGGCTTGCCCAAG